GTAAGAATCTCTGGGGAATTTGTTCATAAACTACTTAAATTCAAATATTTCAGAGAGAAAGAACATTTTTATTAAATGCTTCCAAAAGGACTATTGACAAGAGTGTTTCGATCAATAATTATAATTGCCATTTACATTGTATTATATGTATGGGTACAAATTATGGGGTATAATGTATATATAAGTAAAAAAATATCAGTAATAATTAAAATAAAAGGTAAAGGGTAAAAAGGTATATGGTGTATGATGCTGTATTGTCTATAGAATAGTTAAATCAGGGTATCTTTATTTTATGTTCAAAATTTGTAATAAATACATTGATGATTAAAGATGTTCATATTATGTGAATTTTATGAACTTTTTTGAAGGAGGCATTGTGTACATTTCAATTCTAAGATTGGTTTCACTCTAGTCCTTTCCTAAATGAGTGTACTTGAGGTATTTTGAAGTGGGTTGATGGGATCTCTCATTTTAGTTATTGCTGGCTTCCTCTCTCTAATATTAGATTAAGTATAAATAACAAAATACTAGTTCATGAAAAGGATGTCAAAAAGAGATGGGAAAAGTACTTTGAGAGTTTAGTTAATGAAGAATTTGACAGAAAACCATTTGACAGTAACATCAATGATCACCAAAATAACAAATGAGAAAGTAGTTCAAGCAGTTCAAAAAATAAAGAAAGGAAAAGCAGTTAGACCAGATGATATTCGCAGCAAGTGGTGGACAGTATTCTTAAGTAAGAAACTTTGTTAAGTAAGAAACTAGCCTCAGCCTGCTATGCAATAAGATCTGTTTCAAAGGAAATCAATTTGGCATCTTCCAAAATAACATATTTTTCTTTGTTCGAGTCTCATCTTCCATATGGCCTTGTTTTTGGTGTTCTAGTACAGCTGCCCAATCTGATGTTATTTTTAAATTACAAAAAAGAGCAATATGGTATCTTTTTTGGCCTCAGTAGAATATCACATTGCAGAAGTCACTTCGAAAAATCACAATATTTTAACTCTTCCCTCTTTATATATTTTAGAAACTGTTTCAAGTAATTCGTAATCACCTACATGTTTTCCAGCAAGACCTAATCATGACTACTCCACCAGAAATTCAACCTTTGATCTGTATTTAAGGATTCCATTCACTGAGTTAGTAAAGAAATCTATATTATATTTGTCAAAAAAATTCTCATCATCTCAACCATCTCCCTTTTGCAACTTAAATCTACAACTTCTTTCCTTAAGTTCCATAAATTGACAAAAAGGTTATCTATCTGAAAGGCCATATTATCCAGTGGAAGAGTTTCTTAACAACTAACTAAGAAATTACAGTATGTTCAGGTACAAGCAACTAAGTATTTATATATATATATATATATATATATATATATATATATATATATATAGCATTTTTTTATTCTATTCTATTCATTACGGAGACAGAAGCAAGTTGGCTAAAAGGTTTATTTAATAGAATTACGCAAGTGGGATAAATGCGAGATGAATGGAGAAGCAGTATATTAGTACCTGTTTACAAAAACAACAGAGATATACAATAATTTACAAACTAGAGGGCCATAAAACTACTTAGTCACACCATGAAAATATGGGGGAGTGTAATTGATAGATAGGTATGTGAAGAAACTGAAATATCTCATAACCAGTTTGGCTTTATGCTATTATGCTAGGCAGATCAACAACAGATGCAATTTTCATTATAAGTTGATGAAAAAATACAGAAATAAAGAAACAAAAGCTCCTATGGTATTCATTGATGTTAAGAAAGCATATGATAGTGTTCCTCGAGAGGTTCTGTGATGGGAACTCAATAAGAAATTAGTCCCAAGTGAATATGTAAAAATTGTTAGACATTTATGAGGGAGTAACATCAAGTATGAGGACAAGTGTGGAAAATACTGATAAATTTAATGTGAAAGTAGGTTTCCACCAATGCTCAGGTTAGTCCTAATTTATTCTCATTGGTGTTCAATCAGATAACAGAGAAACTACAGGTAACATTTGCTAATGCTTGATGGATGCTGATGATGCAGTGTGTTGGTAGGAAACAGTTAAGTAAAGCGATTTAGAACAAAAACTTGAACAGTTGAGACAAACTCTTTAGGAAAAGGTTTAAAACTTAGTAGGATAAAAAATGAGGAATGTTCATTTAAAGATGGAGTTACTACAAATAAAATGATATCTTTGGATGAAGAAATGATTATGAAAAGTGATAATTTTATAGTACCCAGAATCAGTATTACAAAGTAATGAGGAAATAGATAGAGATGCATGCAGTAGAATTAAGGTAAGATAGATGAAGTGGAAAGAGGCAAGTAGTGTGTTATGTGACAGAAAAATTCCAATGTAAGCTGAAGGGAAAATTCTATAAAAAAGCCATAAGATCAGCTATGATGTAAGGAAATGAATGTTAGGCTGTTAAAAAGAAAGAGAAACAACAAATGGCAGAAATGACAATGGTTAGATGGATGAGTGGAGTGACAAAAAGGATAAAATTAAGAATGGGTATATTAGATAAAAGACTAGGGGTGGCACCAATTGATACCAAAATGAGAAAGCATACGTTAACTTCTTAAGAAACTGTATAGAGGTCACAGAGTGTCTTATTCTAAATTTTGTTTTACATTTTTTCTAGAAACTGTTTACTTATACAAATAAGATGATGTGAACAATTTGCCTGTTGCAATTTATACAATAATAATAATAATAATAATAATAGCTTTATTGTCCAACAGGTATGCATTTATGGGATTATATAGGAGACCCCTGTGCCAAAGTCAAACGCTATGTTTATATCAAGGTATAATATTGATGTTTTGTTTCCTTGGGTGTTCTTTGATTGTGTATTGTTTGCTAAAACTAATAAAGGTTGAACTGTGTAGTCTTCACCCAAAAGCCATATTGAGGAGGTAGCATATTCCTAATATTTCTCCTAAATTTTTGATTAATTTTAAGTTTTTTCTGATGACTGGATGGAGTTTTATATATAAGTCAATATCTTCCTGGCTTTGAATAGTCTTAATTAGACTTAAGAATGTTACCATACCTTTTTTCCCTTCATCAGGAAAATAATATTCTTGTGAACAGTGGTTAAATATTTTTAGAGAGTACTGATGTATACTTGAAATTAGTTTCCTTAATTTATTTTTACTGACATCATATCTAAGTGCTGTATTTTTGCCAGACCATAGTGTTTCATCATACTCTTCCTCTGATCTGACTGTCATGGTTATTAGCCTGGTAACCAATTATCCACTTTATCTTCATTCACTGTTTTGTGTATTTTCATGTGTTAGTCAACTCTGTTGAACATTTTTGATTTTTATACCTGCAATTAAATTATTTGATTTATACCCACACCATCTTTTAATTTCATTACAGTAGTTTTATCATCTCATTTATATTATATTTTTACACAATGTTATCCATTTATTCTTTTTTAATTATCTTATTAGTGTCTGGATCTCCTTAGGTCTATTAAATATGCTTTTGAGTGTTGTGGGTTTTTGCTGTTTAATTTATCTCTGTAAATGTATTTTCTGTTTAATTTTAGCAAAAAATTACTTGATTCTGCAGTATCCAATTGGCAATGACTGCATTAACTTTGTCTACATCACATTTATTTATGTTATTCTGCAATTCATTCTTAAGGTGCATCTAGATTTAAATCAAGTTCTATTAAAATTTCAATTGGATGGTGGTCATTAAATTTCACCCATAATTTTTTTTTTACAAATCATATGTCAAGGGTTGTGCTGATTTTCTTTCATTATAATTATTTTACTTTAACTTAAGCTCTCTCAGAAGACTTATGAAATTATTAATGTGCTGGGAGACGATAAATTAAATATCAGTATTGAAATAAGTAAGTAGGCAGTATATCGCTCTAGTTAAGCAAAGCTAGATTAAACCTTGCAGTCCAGCTAATGGCTTAAAGTTGCTTAGTTCACATGATGGCAATATTCAGATTTTCTCGTGAATATCTTAATTGAAGTTACACATTCTGCCAGGATTATTACAGAACACCTAATTGAAGTTGGAATGGAGGAGAAGTTAAATTATTCAGCATGAAATTCTATTTAGCATATCTGGGCCTATCTAGTTAAACATGATCAAAATAAATTTAAAAAAATGTATAGCAAGCTTGCATAGAGCTTGAGTCTAAAATCTATAAGCTACATATCCCCACTAGGTGTCTTAAGCCTAAATGATCTTATTTAATTTATATTATTATAAGAATAGGTCAAAACATATTAACACTTTAAAGCTGTTTTATATATACAGTATACTCCTTTTATAACGAACACAGTAATTAGAAAGTTTCGCTTATAACGAGGTACATTAGATGTCCTGAGAAATTTCTATTGAACTATAACCCTCTATAGCGAGGCAAATTTGGATATAACGAGTGTAAATAAGATTGAAAAACGTGTTTTTATACGTTTTTGGCCTGGCCGTGGCTAAAAATAAATAACCTTTTTAACTGTAGTCTGCAATAAACTTCTTACAATTTATGATTCTTACTCGGAAATTTACAATTTATGATTCAAGTGTCATTGTAGGGGGTTGACCATTCGCACCTAATAATATAGGTTCTAGTAGACAATGTGGAAAGTGTTTTAAATGTTGTCAGAAACTTTATCCAAAGACAAAACGCAAATAAAGAAGCATAAAACTGTTTCACATCTTTAGAAAATATGATAGTTAGAATACTGGACAATTTAAAGCAGTCAAAAATGACAGATTTCTTCCAATTGCAGAAGCAACAGTTTATGTCATTCTTAAAAAACACAAAACATAACAATAAATAAATTGTAAGAACAAAAATTGTTAAGTAAAAACATAAATAAATGAGCCTTGTGTGTACATATAAAGAGCTTAAGAAAATGCAAGCAAAAGTGATCAAGTTGATTAACTTGGTGTCAAGAGCCTTTTACAACTAGTTGAATTAAAAATACAGATAACAAATTGCAGGAATTTTGTAAAAATTACCTATAACACAAAGTCCATAGTCACTCATATCCTCTATAACATTTCTGCACGTTTCTTCTAGATACACATCATTCTCAAGACTTGTAGACTGATTTAAGGAAATCTCTGGAAAATCCTTAAAAGTTTTATGTTTGGATTGAACAACATTACTTCCACTTATAGGCATAGCTATATTAACAAAATTTAAAGATTTCTCAGTAGATGTCAGGTGATAATTGTTATTTGGTGCTAACTGTTCAGCTACAGAGCTTAATATTTCATTTTCTGAACTGCCTTCTATTGGTAAAATATCTTTATGTTCTGAATTCTCCACGATATGACCGTATTTATTTTCCACAGCTGAATCAGATATTCTAAGTCTCTTACAGATTGGCTTATGTTTTTTCCAATCTTGCAACTGATGATCCTTACTACAATAACAACTAACTTTACAACGCGAACACCTTAATAAATTTTCTTTGAGTCCACAAACCGCACAACTCCTAGAAACTACTAACCCGGCACATTCTCCTGAACTCATTTTATTTGAATAGGCAAACCAAGGGTCTCCTCTTGATAAGACACATTAAAAATTCTATTATTTGGACGTTAGAGGTCGCTACATGTTTAATGTCAGCTGTTGAACATTCGGTATCAGTAAACTGGACTAAGCAGTCGCAAAATATAAATGTTTTACATTGTTGCACGATTGCATGATTTTCTATAAGAATTGCTAAACTACTAGAATCGCGATTACGAATGTTACGAGAAGCTCATATAGAGAGTGTTCCTACAATTTTCTACAAACTTGTGATAAGTTTTGCTATTATTGATATACTGGGGTTTAAAAATTTGAAATCGACACTAAAAATTTATTACAGATCAAAAAAATTTTCTTATGGATATTTCTATGAAATTTGGTGAATAATATACTCTTTAAGACAATATAATTTTGTCATCAAGTACAACCTAACCTAACCTAACCTTTTTTATCACTAGTTGGTGAATTTACAGAGTAACCATTCTGGTAGTGTTGGGTTCCTAACTAAAGTGATACCTGGACGACCAGTTTGGCGTGGCGCTAAAGCCCAGTTCACATTATACTAGTATTTTAGTCGAGTGGCGAGTAATTTAGTAACTAAAATACATACTACTGCCCAAAAATCGTTGGCACTTTTTCTAGTATAGTTCACAACTGGGTTGGGTTTTGCAAGATAACGTAATAAAGTAAATACACTGATTAAGCTAATCGTAACGACTGTGTTAGAAGAGATGGTTGAATAAATTTGTGTGATTAATAAAAATAAGCTATGGGTACGAAATTGGATCGATAGAAGAGATAAACTAGGAGCTACCAATTGTCGTCTAAAAGGAATTAGCATTGGAAGATCCCAAAGAATACTTCGATATTGTGTAAATTTTCTGATAATGAAAATACACTCCCAAATACATCGGAAAGATACCGATTTAAGAAGTGAGGTTCCTGCAATATTAAAATTACAAACAGTTCTATACTTTCTTAATATTCCAGAAGCATTTATGTTCTAAATATTTGAAAACGAATTTTAGTTCTTTCTCCGCACCAGCGAAACAACATTTTTGCGGCAACTAATGAACTCGTCTAATTCAACTGGTTCGGACTTGTTTAGCCGGTGAACCAGTGAGGATGGACGCATGGTAAAAGGTGCTACTCGCCCGAAAAATATAGAATAAAATGGATTGACTCGACTAAATTATTTACTAATCTACTCGACTAATTTTTTGTTGTTCAGACATGTTTAGTTACTAAATTACTCGCTACTCGACTAAAACACTAGCACAATCCGAACTAGGCTTAAGCGGACCTCACTGCCGTTTCACGTCCCAACTAAACCCCACCCCTCTCGTTATGATGCTCACCTCTGTCGCTCGATTCCCATATACGCTTTCTCTCTTGTTCTATACGTTCGCTTCAGATTCTTATTCGCACAATACAGCGACCAGTGGCTTCCAACGAGTTTTCTCTCTTTTGGTCTCCCGATGATGGTTCGCGCCTTAATCTATAGGTCTTACGCTGGAGATTCTCCAGCTCCCTTCCGTCAGTCGTTGCTATTGTCGTAGAATTAGCTTTTCTTCGACAGCACCGACCCTATATACCTGTGGATCATTTTCCGTCACCTTTCAACTGATACCATTCTTTCTGTAATTTGTTTACAGAATCGAACTAGAATCTCATACTCTCTCTCTCTCAACCGATAGAAGGTAGATCAGCCGATACTTGCCTGTTCCTTTGGATAGTAGAACTAACTTTGTGGTCTACCAAGACTTCGGAAATACTTGTGTACGAAGTAAAGGAGACAAAGGGAATAAACAAAGCGGGAATACAGAATTCTTCTTTTCTTCTTTTTATATAGACATGACCAAGTCCTTGATGTTCTCAGCCTTGCATCTACATCGTATATTTGTACTTCTAGTTCTGTCCTATCGTGTCTTACCATTAATTTTTCATCTCTCCTGTTTTTTAATATTTTTGTTTGTCCTCTCTGTGTCAGGTCGTGTTTCTACCGCATATGTCATTATTGGTCTGATGACTGTTTTGTAAATTTTTTGCTTTTCATTTTGTTCCCGATATTTTTATCTCTTCATATTGTTTCATTCAGGCAACCTGCGCCCCTATTTGCTCTATTCATTTGATCCGTAGTTAAATAGGGTGATGCTTAGATATTTAAACTGCATCACTTGTCTTTTTGTCTGACCTTCCAGTTTCAATTTACATCTTAGTAAATTTGCTGTTATAACTATGTTCAACTTTCTGCCAATTATCCTAAATTAGTGCAGCATACGTTTTAAATCATCTTCATTTTGAGAGAGTAGTATTGCGTCGTCTGCATAGCAGATTATTTTTCTCCCATTTGATATCCTTTTGTAGGTCTTACTTTTTTATTATTTCATCCATGATCAGGTTAAACAATAGAGGACAAAGGGAATTTCTCTGTCATCTCATTGCCAGCTTCAATTGGCCCAGTTAGTTCTTCTTCTACTTTTACTTTTATTGCGTTATTTGGTAGACATTTTCAATCGTTTGGACTATTCTTAGAGGTATCTCTCTTGCGTACAATAAGTGGATAACATCCTTGTTGCCGGTATGTTCTAATGATTTCTCTTGCACTTGTCTTATTATAAATATAGCGTCAGTGCATAATTTTCCCGACCTTAAACCCAGTTGTTCTTCTGCTAGTGTTATAATTTTATTCAGTTTATTTGTTTTTACTTTCGTTGTTAATAATAAATTAATTCCTCTGTAATTTTCCGGAGCCCATTTGTCGGATTAGATTTTTTGGATTAGTTGTCATATTTGTTTGCCCAGCTCTGGTTCTCCGTACTTTAGGAGTCTGCCCATGTTTCCTTCTGAATGTGTTTCGTTTTAATTAATTCTTTCATATCTTTTCTTTGTCCTCTGATCATTTCTTATATTTCTTTTAGTGTTCCGTAGAAGTCGTATTCCAGCTGTTTTGGGAATCTCTGCCAGTGTTCCCTTTTCTTCACACTTTGTCATCACTTCCTCTATAAACCATGGGGTTTTCTGTTTTGATATGTTATTCTTCGTTATTTTCATCTCTCTTAGTGATTCTGTTGCTAGGTTAATTATGTTATTTTTGAGCGTTCCTTTATGTTATCGTTTTATATTATTTCAATCCCAGCAATATTTTCTGATATTCTTTTCCATGAATTCCGTATTTAGTCCTTCGACTCTGATTTTTGTTAGTGTTGGCGCCGCTATCTTGGGTGTGAAGTATTTCACGAAGATTCACACATTATGATGCACAGTTGAGGCATTTTAGGTAGATTATTTTTGATGGATGTATATCTCTGTTGGTTATAATATAATCTTGTTGTTTATTTATTCTATAAGTTCGTTATTCGTATAGAAGTTTATCTTCAGTTCTATATTTTCGTTTATAACATTTTCGTTATGTTTTTGTCTAATTCCGGGTATTGCTTGGTTGCCTATTCGAGCGTTAAAATCCACCAATATTATCTTACCTTGTTGTTTGAGGCTTGATATTTTCTGGGCCCTATAATCTGATGATGTTCAGGTCTTCCTTCTTCATTCTTATTTTTGCTGTTACAATCCTTTCTGATATATATTGACACTCTTTAATGTGATTTTGGTACCTTTGGTGTATTAGTAAGACTACACCTTCTATTGCCCTATTTTCTTTTGCTCCTCCACTGTAGATTAGTATGTATTCACCTTATTTTTGATTGTCCTTTTCTTTTCTTTTTTGTTTCTCGTAGAGCTCAAATGTCTATTTGTTTCTATTTTCAACAATTCTGATATTCCATGTATATAGTAATTCTCATCTGGGTTTTGGATATTCGCTTGTCCTTATTTCTTTCTGTGGTAGTCTTCATAGTACAAATCCGGTTCCGAGACTGTACATTATTTCTTTGACCAGTATTCGTTTTTACGATTGGTTGGCCGGCCCAAAGCCATTCATATTTTATCCGAGTTTGAGACCGGCTGTGCCGCAGAACAAGTCAATCTACCCTCAATTCCCTCAGGCAATGTTCAGAACACTGAGAAATCATGTAATATTCAATATATCCGAAGGGGAAGATATAGTCAAATTTATTAAAGCACAAAGGCTGAGATCGTGTGGATACACACAAAGAAAAGGAGAAGACGAACTAATTAGGAACATAACGCAACAGAAATCAGTAATAAACATATCAAGAGGAAGACCAACTGCTAGAGAATATATCAAAAATGGAAATTGCAAATTGGAGAGAACAGATTTAGGACCTGAGAGAGTATAAGAAGATATTAGGTAATTTATTCATTAGATAAAAGGTAGTTTAGTAAACATAAAGGATATATGCGGACTAATCCGGCGCGTTAAATGGATTAAGAAAGCTTATGAAGTATTGAGTGATCTACACTGTACCTACATCAATCCATAGGTTTTTTTAGAGGTATAGAACTTTGAAATGGATTAATACTATTAATAAATTGACTTTATTCAAAAGACAATATTTTTGCATTATAATTTAAGTATTATTTCTGACATATCACCGCCACGGTTGGCTGACGTAGTCTAATCTAGAGGTCAAAATTTTGATGCCTTTTTCCAACATTTGTGACCGTATATCGGCAATAACGCGGCGAATGTTGATCTCCAAGTTGTCAGTTGTTTTAGATATATCGGCGTAGAGTAGCGATTTCACATATTCTCATGGAAAATAGTCTAGCGGTGTTAAATTGCACGATCTTGGAGGCAGAGACTCGAGACTCACGAGTCCGAAACGTGAAACTATGAGGTTACCAAACGTTTCTTTCAATAAATTAATTGTGGCACGAGCTGTGCGACATATGGCACCAATCATGGTTCTATAGCGGTCAGTCAGTTTTAAAACGTAAATACGTAGATCTTTGAAGATAGTCCACCAGTAGTAAATGTTGAACGTCATAGTTGAAGTTATCTGAACCGATACCATCACGCAAGAAGTGGATCCAGTAACGCATGGTCCACATGACCACATCCATTTTAAGACCAATGTCAAGGAAGGCAGTTAACGACGGGGAAGGTAGCGTCCTAGAGGTGAAAGCACATCATCAGAGAAGTCCACAGCAGAGGTTCGAAGATTCATAACAGAAGCATTGTCTGATGTCGGAGAAGTCAT